GGGCGCGCCGGGCCCCTCCGACCTCGCAGGAAGGCCTGGACGACGGCCCCGACTTCCTCTCGGAGGAGGACCGCGGAGTAAGTTCTACCTCCTCGTTCGCGGGACCCTCCCTCCCCCGCCGTGGCCCTGGGGTGTGGGACGCGGAAGGGTCCGGGGTCGCGCGCCACCCCTTCCTCGCCGGCCTCCTTTCAGTTTCCTCGCCGCCCCGCGCCCCGCCCTTCTGCAGCCCTTCCTCCCTCGGGGACGCTGGGTTCTGATTTCCTGGAGACCCGCAGCCGCTTTCGGGTCCCCGCCCCGACGCGGACCCCGCAGTGGACCTCCTACCCCTCCCGGGTCGGGGCGTAGGTGAGGAGGGGGAGGCCGGAGCGGGACTCCCTCCCCTCGCCACTTTGGGGGGCTATGAAAACCCGTGCTCAGACCTTCCTGGCGGCACCCTCACTTTCCCCGTGCGGACCTCTTAAACCCGCGCCCGCCCACCCTTCTTTCTCTCTAAAACAGGTAATAAATAGTACGGGCTTTTCTAAATTATTCTTTGCGAGGGATGCTGCACGCACCGAATCTTAACTCTCCTCCACTATTCTACCAGATTTTGCAAAGTGCTGGTAGCACTTTTTTTAATGTCCAAAAAAACGCACCCTTGTCAGAGTTAACCTTGTTTTGAAGTGAATTGCATTCCACTTCAGAAAGGACCTTCGGGGTTCCGACTTCTCCCGACCACTCTCCCCCCCTTTGCCTTTGCTGACGGGTGGTGATCGTTACAGTGCCTTGTGCAAGTGAGCACTTGGAAAATATTGATATATGATGATTGCAGCTCAGCAAGGTTCCGTGGTTCACTCACATTTAACAGCCTGCACTTTGGCTTTCCATTTTGATTTTACTTACTCATCTTAGGTAATGTGAGAGACACATCTGTTAGTCGATGTTTGGCAGGTGATGAAATATTTTTAGGATATTATTGGTGTTTTTTTAACAATAGGTAGCATTCGCTGGTGACCTTTATAAAGCTTTTAAATAAGACAGATGCAGAAGGTGCTGCATACTTTGATTTGCTAGATGATGAATTAATGAATTTCTCAGTTTACACAAAGCATCATTTAAAACTTTTAGTGCAAAAGCCTCATATAGTATTTCTGGTTATTTCTAAAAATTGTAATTTGATTAATTTTAAAATGTGTGTGTGTAAGTGTGTATATGTATCTTCTGGGATAAGATAGTGGAGTTAGATGACCACTTATATTTTGTATTTTATTTTTTAAAATATGTTTTTATTTTAGAGCCAGAGGAAGGGAGAGCAGAGAGAGGGATGGAAACATCTATGCATCAAATATTCATTGGCTGCCTCCTGCACGCCCCCTGCTGGGGATGGAGCCTGCAACCCTGGCATGTGCCCTACTGGACTGTTTTCAAATATAAAGTATATGGCCTTTTACTTATTTAGATAACAGCTTCATCATATTTTTGTGGTCTACCAGGAAAAGCAAACGATTTGCTTCCTGGTAAAAATCTGACTAATGTTCAGTAAAAGTTTCAATTTTTTTAGTATTTATATTGATGTAGAGTATTTTCCAGTGAATATTTGGGTTCCTGGCTTTATGCTTTTGGTAAGATTTGCTTATAGAACTAGAACCACTTAAGTAATGTGTCCAAAAACTTTTTTCATGTATTATAAAATTAAAGGTAGAGGAAGACAAAGAGCATGCCTGACCAAGAGGCTCTTGTAGAATCTTGTAGATGAAAATAGAAAAACATTACCATGAATTAGAAAGCACTTATAATGCCATGATGAATATGGATGTATGTCCAGTTCTTCCTTATTTTTGTCCTGTGGAATTGATAAATCATAATAACAATAATAATAATAGCTGGGTACCGTGTTAAAGCACTGTCGAGGCATTATCTCATTATATTAATATCTCATTTATCCTTGTGAAGCTTTTAGTATTCCCCTTTTACGGATGAGAAATCTGAACCTTAGAGAAAGTAAGTAGTCTCAGGTCACATGGCCAGGATAGGAATGGGAGAGGTGGACTTCAAACCCATGTTTCTGACATCAGACACAGTGCATGTGTTTCTCAAAGTGGCCTTGAAACACTTGCATCGGAATCACAGGCCCTGGGGTGTTTCAAAAACAAGTTTCCGGGTCTGTGCCCTCATAAGTAAGTCAGTCTCTTAAGCGGGGAGAAGGACAGAAAACTACTTTTTAAACAAGAACCCAAGAAGATTCCGCTGTGCACTGAAGGTTGATTATAGCTGCATAAAGTTATCCTGCTGTTTCCTCATTTCAGGAATAGAACTATCTAGCCTTTTAAATTTCTTTGTGTCATACTTGTTCTGATAGAAATAGATTGCCATAATCAGAATTTTTAGACATTGCACCTATGGTTTGGATTACCTTGTTCAGCCTTTTAATAGTCTTGATAGAGAAAAAGCATGAAGTGCATATTTGATATAAATTGCAGAGGGGACATCACAGATTCAAAAATAATAATGTAAGCATTTCATACAGAGCTGCAAGTAAGCAAAATTAAAGTCAATATGTTTAAATATATTTTTAAGCAGCCTTGAATTTTCATCATGATATTTGAAATAGAAGAGAATCTTACAGTATTAAGAAAATATTGTTTTGTAGAAACTCAAAAAAAGACTTTAAAAATACACAATAACAAAAATAATTGGCCACACGAATCTCTTTAGCCACGGCTCTACATAATAGGGGATTTTTGATTTTTCACAAATGAAGGCCTTTTAAATTTAACATTATATAGTAAAGAAATGAGCCCTTTGAACTTGACACATTTGCTCTGATGTGCTTGTTAAATAAAAGCAGTGGATGCCTGTGTGATGAAATAATTCTCTTAGCACTTAATTTGAATTTAAATAATATGTTTATTGTTTCAAAATTACTTCAGGTGGAGTATCTGCATCTCTCCTGGACTCCTAGCTTTGTTCCTCCCTCTGTATTTCTTCATAATGTCATCATTTTCCAATCATGCAGGCAAAAAATCTGAATCATATCCTCCATCCCCATATCAGAACAGTCACTGAGGCGAGTTAATTTCACCTCTGAAATGTTCTGTATCCTATCTTCCAAATGTTGTGTGTCCTATCTTTCATTTGCATGGCCCCAGTGAAGGTCTCTGCTATTTCTTGCCTGGATTGTGGCAGTACATGTCATTGGTCTGTCTGCAGTCTTACTACTTTTAAATCCAGTCTTCACATTACTTCTAGTTACCTAACTAAAATAATTAAATCATATAGCACCACTAGCCAAAAAACGTGGACCCAATTCTTCTTGCAACAAGGTCCAAACTCCTTAGGCTAGCATTAAACACCATTCATAACCCTTGAAGGCTGGCTTCATTTCTCAGTATGTCCCTCCAGATACACACACTCTAGGCATAGTTTCATCTACTTGTCACTGCCCAAGCATCTTTCTCTGTATTTTATTATTTTTTGTTTTTGTTTTTTAATATATTTTTATTGACTTCAGAGAGGAAGGGTCTGGAGAGAGAGAGAGAAACATCACTGATGAGAGAATCATTGATTGGCTGCCTCCTGCACACTCCCTACTGGGGATCAAGCCCGAAACCCGGGTGTGTGCCCTTGATTGAAATCGAACCCAGGACCCTTCAGTCCATAGGCTGACGCTCTATCCACTGAGCCAAAACAGCTAGGACTGCACTTGTTTTTGTCTACATTTTTTAAAATTTGTTTTTTTTTTGTTTTTTTTTTGTTTTTTGTTTTAGAGAGAGGAAAGGAGAGGGAGAGAAACATTGATTTTTGTTGTTCAACTTATTTATGCATTCATTGGTTGATTCTTGTATGTGCCCTGACCTGGGATCGAACCCATAACCCTGGCACATCAGGACGGTGCTTGAACCAACTGAGCTACGCCACCAGGGTTGTCTACACTTTAATGCCTGCTTTATGCATGCTTTTCAGTGTTGTGAAGTGCTTTATTTTTTTCTCACCCTTTTTTTTTTTCCACTTGAAATTTGATTTATCTTTCAAGACTTGTCCCAGATATTTGCATTTTCTTTTGTACCTGCACAGCATTTAGCTTGAATACATTCCACGTTTATTGATAGTTATTTTAGGTAAAAATGTGGCATAGATTGTGTTGGCAGAGGATAAGAAGATGAATGTTGACAGAGAAAAGGAGAAAGTTTTTGCCCTGAGACCATCAGTATAATGAGGAACTTACGAGTAAGTGCTTAACTTTGTTGAAGGGGGAGTAGTGAAGAACTAATGATAACTATATACATATAACATTTACTGCTTGCCAGGGACTTTGATATATTGATTCAATTCTCATCCCTGTGAAGTAGCTGCTACTATTATTCCTACTTTGGAAAGTAAAACTGGGGTTTACAATTAGCTTGCCCAAGGTCACATAGCCAGTATGAGCTAGATTCAAACTCAGGCAGCCCAACTCTAAGTCCTGGGGTAACCATTATGCCATCACCTAAATAAGCTAATCCTTAAATGTTGATCAGGAATTTTGTGGGAAAATTTGCTAATATATGTAGATAATTTGGTCCCACCTGGAGCACTTGTTCTTACCGGAAGCAGGGTAGATAGGGATACTACAGGTAGAGTGTAAAGTACATAATGATGAAGGCTCCAAGCAGTGGGAAGTCCTGAAGGATTTTAACCTGGGTAAGACCTATGCCCAGGTGAAATTAGCATTGCAAATACTATGATATTGGAGGGGAGGGGCGGGGTGGGGGGCGGGGTAGATTGACTCTTTCAGAAAGCAAAGAAACCAATCAATAGATCATTGCAGTAGGCCAGATGAGGTGGAACTAAGGCAGTGGAAGAGAGGATGGAGGGGACATAACAAAGAGATATTTAGGAGATAGAATTGACAAGGCATCGTGACTAAATAAATACATGGGCTGGGCAGAGGAGAAGGAGAAAATGAGGAATATATATATATAGAAGAACAGAGTTAGAAGGTAGATAATAAGTTTGGTTTCAGATATGTTAGCTTTCAAGTGCCTATGAGGCATCTAATCTCTTACCTGCTAATCTAGAATGTCAGGTCTGTATGGGTTAGGATTGTGTCTTTTTATTG